ACCCTAGCAGGAGTGACTGACCAGGAGACTGTTAGGCGAGCACGCGCTGCCGCGGGAGGAGCTGCTCGCCGCTCCACCTGGCCTCCCCCTCCACCCCTCTCGCCTCGACGGCACTCCCCTTGACCTTCTCCCCCGCCCACCCGTCTTCGCCCCTTCCTCTAGGCGCGGCCGAGGAGAAGGGAGTGTCTCCTTGCGACCGGCAGGTAGTTGCTCACACGACTGAGCTTGCCACGCAGGCGCGGCTGCGCGGCCTGCCGCGCCACGAGTACTTCTTCGAGGTGGAGCTGCTGCCGCAGCGGGCAGCGGCCGATGCCGGCGCCGGCGGCGTGGCGACTGGCGTGGCGACGGGCGGCGGGGCGGGCGGCGGGGCGGGCGGCGGGGCGGTGCCGTTTGTGGGAGAGGCGGAGGAGGCGGTGGAGGCGGTGGAGGCGGGCGTGGAGGGAGCGGAGGGCTCGGCGCTGGCGACGGCGGCGGCGGCTTTGAGGAGGAGGAGAGGGGCAGGAGCACTACACAGGAGGTTTCTCGGAGCTGTCCTCCAGGTGGCGCTGGTGGTGGAGGAGGAGAGCGAGGCGGCGGTGCTGCAGGAGCTGCTGCTTCGCTCGCTGCTCTTCGCCGGCTCCCTCGTCGTGCTGCGCTCGGCGCGGCGGCAGCTGCGCGACCCCCTCCCGCCTCGCTGCAACACACCAGCCACAAGACTGTGCTACGTCGCAGGTGCGGCGGCAGCTGCGCGGCTTCCTTGCCGCCGACCTGCTCCCCGAGCAGCGCACGCTCCCCCCGCTGCTGCTGCTGGCCGCCCTCTACGCGCTGCCCCTCCCCCTCGTGCTCGGCCTGGTGTACGACCTTTCCTAGACCCTTCCTGGACCCTTCCTGTAGGCGCTGCCCCTCCCCCTCGTGCTCAGCCTGGTGTACGACCTTTCCTAGACCCTTCCTGGACCCTTCCTGTAGGCGCTGCCCCTCCCCCTCGTGCTCAGCCTGGTGTACGACCTTTCCTAGACCCTTCCTGGACCCTTCCTGTAGGCGCTGCCCCTCCCCCTCGTGCTCGGCCTGGTGTACGACCTTTCCTAGACCTTTCCTGGACCCTTCCTGTAGGCGCTGCCCCTCCCCCTCGTGCTCGGCCTGGTGTACGACCTTTCCTAGACCTTTCCTGGACCCTTCCTGTAGGCGCTGCCCCTCCCCCTCGTGCTCAGCTTGGTGTACGGGGGGCCGTGGCCTGCCGCCGCCGCCGCCCTCTGCGCTCTGCTCTTCCACGACTGGGCACTCCTCCTCCCACCTCCCCGTCGCCACCGACGCCGCCCGCCGTGATTGGTCAATCACAATGAATCAGGCACTCCTCCTCTACCTCCCCGTCGCCACCGACGCCGCCCGCCACACCGCCACCGCCTCGTGGGGCGCCGCCTGGCTGCCGCGCTCGGTCCTGCTCGTGCTCGCGGCGTCGCCGCCGCTGCTCCTCATCATCGACGACGGGGGGGGCGGGGGGATGCGGCAGGCCTGGGACGCCGAGGCCGGGAGCCTCCGCCACGCAGTTGAGATATGTGACGAGTGACGGGCGGCTGCTGAGCAGGCTCTCTACGCCGAGCCGGGGTACTACGTGGCGGGCGACTCCGGGCTCACGCTGCCTCTCCCAGCCACGTTCGGGCTGTGGGGGGGCGAGGAGAGGGCGACCGGCATCACCGTGGTCGCACTCTTCCGTGCGGAGACCAGGGCACGTCCAGGACATGTCCGAGACATGCCCCGTAGGCTCACTGGTCGCACTCTTCCACGCGGAGACCGCTGTGCTGGTCGTGGCGGCGGCGTGGGAGGTGCTCCTTGCCTTTTGTGGGCGCCCTCTTCGTCACGCCGCTGCTGCTCGAGCGAGAGTCGGGCTCCAAGCAGATGCAGTTCGTCTCTGGCGTCGGCCCCGTCGCCTACTGGGTCTCCTCCTGGCTCTGGGACGCGGCCCTCTACGCCGCCGTCCTCCTCGCCACCCTCGCCGTGCTGTGCGTGGCGCGCGGCGTCGTGCCGGCGGCCGCAAAGGCGTTCGCGGGCTCAGCGGAGGTGCTCGGCGCCACCGCGCTGTCGCTCGGCCTGTTTGGGTTCGCCGCGGTGCCCTTCGCCTCCGCCTCCTCCTTCTTCTTCTCGTCGCCCTCGTCCGGGCTGATTGCGCTCATCGCCTTCCACTTTGTGTCGGGCTTCGGCCTCGTCATCGCCAACTTCATCCTCTCCTTCATCGACTCGACCGCGGACGCCAACGAGCAGCTGCAGCCCCTCTACCGCCTCTTCCCCGCCTTTTGCCTCGGCGACGCCTTTTACACGCTCGCCATGCGCGACGCCACCCGCGCGCTCGTCGGAGAGGGGCACGAGCAG